ATGAACACATAATAAAACACAAACACCAGCACATTGTGACCAGTTACGATGATTAATATAACAGAAACATGAGTAGAGAACTGAACCTCCACTTCTTGTGTAGACTTGATGTTAAAAGACAAAATCTGCCTGAGCACTTCCTTGTCGCATTCAGTCAATAGTGTAAAGTGACTTTGGAAATAAAAAGTTATCATTTGAAAAACTGACTGCTTTATATGTGTTATATATATATTTTCCAAGAGAGCTGGATATGCAGGTTTTAATCTGTAGATTGTAAAACATTTATAATTCTGTATCTCAGCACAACTCTGAATTGAAATGCAGCTTCACAGTTCCGTGTTAGCAAGATGACATATTATCTAAACACTTTATCTCGATGCCTCCACCGTGCAATCAGTCTTCGGGTTGTTTACAATGAGTGAGTCATCTGTCTGCAGCGGGTTTTTAATTGAACCATAAATTAAATCTGTTTTAACGATCGTTTACTATGGATGCTGGAGAGAGAAAGGGGGTTATCTTTCAACTATTTGAAAGGAACCAGTAATTTGGTGCATCATTCATTCGGGAAAACAATGCTCTGATTATTAGTTTAGCAAAAGCAATATAAAGATCATTTCGTTTGTCTGACTTTTTTTCAGATTAAAGAAATATAAAATAAATCAGTCCCACCTGTTTTTAGTTGCATCAAAGTGATCTTTAGTGGTACACAATACAAGATATTTTTAAATCTGATATATAAGGTATTCAGCGTGTTTATTAAAGCCCTATGCAATTGATCTGGACATATTTTTTTCACCATTAGATGCTTGTATTGAACCACTGTCCCTCTGTGGAGCGATCAATTTCTGAGTCGAAGGTTACAGGTGAGTCATCTATTTGTAATGAGTTTTTAATTGGTCCATAAATTGAGTTGGTTAGCTAATCCTCAACTGGGGAATCAGAGCGAAGGGTTTTGGTGACAGAGGGGTTAACTGTCAACTCCTTTAAATCATCCAATCAGTCAGTTAATCAGCCAGTATTGAGCAAGTGAAGAGAAGGTAGAGCAAAGATTTGAAAATGCAGATTGGAAAACAATCACTGGTTTTCTTTTTTGTTCAGAACAACCTTTGAGGGCCCTCACAATGAATTCCTAATTGGAGAGTTTTATTAAAAACTGACATTTAAAGAATAAGAAACACAGTAATGACGGCACCTCAAAAGGCTTTTTGTAGTAAATCAACCATTAAAAAAAGACCCCCCCCCCCCCACTCTAAAAACTGGCTCAGCATTACAATAAATCATGAGTACAATAAACTGAGTCTTTGTGTGACAACACAGGGTGCTCTATATTCTAGAAACATTGAGTGATTTGTATTACAAAAATTAATGAGAAGCATATTCGTTTGACAACCACCCATGAGCTGTGCAAAGACGCACTGCAATTTTATGTACAAAAATATCTGGTGCCAAAATCTTGTTATTGCCTGTGAAAGCACCCCTCGCTGCTGGGCTGGAGACTGTAACTTGTGCTTGTACTTCATTAAAAATGAAAAATGTGACATGTTAGAATACTAAATGTGTGAAAATGGCTTTGTGTAGCTCAAAGCTTCAACAATTGCAGACTTATATGGAGTATGTGTCAGGCTTATGTCTCCAACACAAAGTTAATCACCAGTGGTGGAGGAGGGTGTTTTACTGAAAGGCATACTATGCAGGATTTGTCGCTGACTGTTTGTTAACACAACATTCAAACCTGGCTCCTCGTCCTCGGCGAAATGAGGATGAAAGAGCAGCGAAGGTCAAGCGAGAGGGAGCGGCGTTCACAAGAACAAAGCAGTGAATTAGAGAAATAAACGTTAAATTCTGATTGTTTTACAGTGGTTATGTTGTGTTGCTCAAATAAACACACCAACACCTCTGCACACAGCTGTTTTTTGTGTGATTTCGGCTGAAGCCTGTGTTTCATTCTGTCCACCTGGCTTCTCTGCTCTGTGTGTGGCCCAAACTGCCTTCTTCTAAACAGACACACAGACCTGCTGCATGCATCCACAGAGCAGAGACGAGAGATGGAGACAGCGGTCTAACCTGGTCACTGCATTTTTACAGATTGGCTGGAAGCTACACACCATTACCCAAATATTAGATACATATCCCAAACACACCAAATAAGAGGAAAAAAGAGAAAAAATACATGCAGAGGGCAGGTGCTCTACAGATGCAGACACTGCAACACCACAGTAATGGTCGTCAGTGATGATGGTTTTCCCACATTTTCATATATTTGTAGCAGGCCGCCATAATTAAAACATCTGCCCCCACTTTTAGATTTCCATTTTTTGGATCTGGAACGTTCATTAGGCGTGCTTTTGGAATAAATGTGCTGTTCCGTTATTATTTGTTTCACAGTTGGAGGGCACAGACAAAGCAGCAGAACAGGAGGTGTGGTGACAGCGAAACTTCACCTTCATTGCACTGGGTCTAAAGTTTGCTTTCACTCACAAACAGTTACTCCTCTTATCCATCAATCTGATCTGATCAGCTCTGACTGCAACACCTGATCAATTCATACCCTACAACTCAAAAAAGGAGAGTTATCCCTGTGCTGTGTTCACACAACCTCAGAATTTACAATAGGGCACAGACTGATACATAGTAATTCTGTGGGAAACACCGTGATGATTGACAGGGATCACTTCCGTGTTGTTATTCTAAGAAAATCCTGTATAGTGTGCCTTTAAGTAAATATAAATAGCAATACCACATTGTAAATGCAGCTAAAGGGCCTGCATTCAAAATTTTAAATAAGTAAAAGAACAACAGTATCAGCATTAAAAATGTACTGTCAGGTCAAGCTGGAGTAAAATAAAGAACTGAACAGACAAGACAAACAAAGCTGAGGAATACACAATAAACCGGAAGGAGGAACCTTTCGCACCATCGCCCAGTTACTGCCCGGCCCATAAAGGTCGGCACATGTCAACAGGTAAGGAGCGAGCGGACAAAGGTACACAGACAGCAGGCGTATCTCTGCTCCCTCATCCTTAGCATCCTGCAGGAATCATGCAGAGTGAGAGCATCTAAACACCAGAGAGGCAGCCGGTAAGACGCTGAACTGTTTAATGAAGAGACTTGTGCACGGAGGTTGTTCATTGTGAGTAATTGGTTGTGCTAACGCTAGCTTAGCCACCGGGTCGGACGCCCAGTAACGCGTGGTGCGGTAACTGACTGTCTGTGTGTGCTGATCGCTTGTTAATCTCCCTCCTGACTTTTGAAATGTGTTACAAATGTAATATGTAAATTGTAAATTGGTATGGGTTGAGTACATCCTAAAAAAGTATTTCACTTTGACGTTTAGTAAATTATGAATGTATGTTGATTGTATTGGGTGTATCACAGAAGTAATTAGTAGTAGATTGGGAGCACAATTTGAATATAACATGATACAGTTTCAATTCAAGCATTTATACTCATACATTTTTGTAATTGTGAAAGTGTAATTTTGGAATTTCACTTTAAAAAAATTAATGTTAAAACCCTTTAAAAATTAAGGTTAAAAAGCCCGTAAAAATTTGTAATTAAAGGTTAAGAAGTAATTCATGTTAAAATACGTTTAATGGTAAAATACAGAAGTTGAGACAATTTAAGTTAAGTTTAAAAAGTAGTGAAATTCATACTTACCTGAAACTATGCTAAAACCATTTACAGCAGTGGGTAACTTTATTTGCGCTTAATTTGTAATTTAATGTAAATATAATTGGGTTTCACAATATTTAAGCGTTTATTTTCTGGTATTTTGTATACTTATTTTCTGTTGGTGATTTGCAAATAGCATTTGCACTGTGTACGGATTTTAAACTTTTTCTCTGGTTTTGCATTTCCTTGATTGAAAGGTTTTTCACCTACACATGACAAATGGCATAAAATGCTCGCACCTGAAAATAAAAGGAGGAAAAGGAAAAGCGGCCTGGTCATTGAGTGAAATCCAGTTAAGACCTCTGGTAGATGACTCTCTCCCTTTCAAGTGGGGATATTGCATGAAAAATACTTGAGAACTTGACATGTACCAAAAGTGAAAGTACTTATTTTGCAGATTAGCCCATTTCAGAGTACATTATATTGTTGGATTATAGTTATTGAAGTATTTATGTGTTCCCTACTGCAACTGGTAAATGTGGGGACAGCTTAATTTTTCATATATATTAAGTTTTATTTCTACTGCGTAGCTTTTGATTTTCTCCCTGAGAATCAGTAACATAATTTCGTTGATTATAATTTGTATTCATAATCTGAATTTGGAAAGGAGCTACTTACTAAAGTTATCAAATAAATGTAGTGCCTTACAAAATATAATATTTGCCTCTGAATTGATGAGGAGGAGAGGTATAAAGCAGCATAAAATGGAAATACTTGGATACTTTCCAGAGTGTCAGAGTTGTAGCGGTTTACTTTAATATAACATACATGACTTTGTTCCATGCAAAAATATGTACCTTATTTTTCAGGTATTTAGTTGCTGCTTCTATTTAATGTGATCTACACTGACTTAAGCAGGAGGACTATCACTGACAATAGCACCTAATAATGGCAGACATACGTGTGTCTCTGGCATGTTCATCTACAACACATAAGTGTGAGAGAAGAGAAAAGAGACTCAGTGAGCAGTATTAGAAGTGCTGTTTCCGTGAGTTGTCCTCTACCGTGTTGATGTCTTTCATTTGGCTGTAACTGTGTGTGTCAGGTCCAGCTCTGTAGGGGAGGAAGTGGACCAGCTGACCATCTTGACTCCCACAGCAGGAACAGAACCCTCCTCTACCTTTAAATCCTCTAACAGCCAACACACACAGGCACACAAACACACACAAACACGGACTTCACTCTTACAACATGACAAGCACTACTTATTTTGCCTGTAGGCCCTTCATTCCTCTGGAGCCTTTTCATGTTCCTGTTGCAGTGACCCTACAATATTCCTCCATCACAGAGGAAAAAAGAATGATGGTAATGCACTAGGTGGATGTTACCTGTCTGAAAGCCTCGCCGTCTCCCTTGCCAGCCTGTTGAGCAAGGAGCGTCAGCTTCTTGTTCTTCTCGTTCCTCTTGTGCACTCTATAGAGGCAGGACAGCAGGCACACCAGCAGCATGAAGGCGATCACGCTCAGCAGGGAGAGGATGGCTACAGTCAGAGGAGGCAGCCTGTAGGCTGAGAGGGAGACAAACAAGAACAAACACAGATTCAAATTAAAACCCTTCTGTGACTGCACAAATGTTGTTTCAGACTTGATGTGTAGTTACCCACCCTTCATCTCTGTTTCTTGTTAAAACTGAATCTTATAATAATTACCATGTTAACTTGCATTAAAATGTTACATAGCAATTCCAGTTTCTATATTTATTGGCAGCCTGATGCTGCAACCTTAAAATGTTGAGCAGAACTGTGGCTAGTGCTTGTAGGTATTCTGAAGTCAGGTATTTACATTTAATCAAAGGGACAGTTCAACCTTTGCTTGTGGTGCTTTTTTGGACACGACAAGCCAAGTGACATCCATTCAAGAGAAGGCAGACATCTCTACGGCCGATATTGCCAACACTCAGCAACTCACACCAAAATAATCTAGACATAAACAGCACCAAAAGTAAGAGGAAAAATATGTATTTTTGATTTGGGGCTAACCTGTCTCTGCTATATTTTAAGGATTTCTATTCTTGTATTTATCTTTTTTTTCCCACGGCACAGGTAAAAATAGATACAAATCTATGTCACACAGCAGATAGGTGTCAGCATTTTCTTCTTCAGTGTGTTATTGCTATCATGACACAGTTTCACTATTTCCATTTATGACTATGCTAAAGCTCAGCTGCAAAGTTCAAGTTAAAGCTGATTAAAGCCTTTGGTAGGGTGTGGAGCCAAAAGTTAAAAGATGATATCTCTGGTTCTGCTCCATGGAGTGCTATTTTAGGAGATGTTTCTTTTCACTGACACCCGTGATCTCATTTGCTTCATAAAGGCTCTGAATGTACAAAAGCTTTGCTGGACACACACACAGAATATATATTTATATGTTTTATTACAGTTGCACTACTCTGACGTTAATCATGTAAATTCTTTCAATAAACATAATGTATAATTGATTAGAGGCTATTTATTTTTATTACAAACTAACTAACTAAATACAGTAAGCTAAACATTTAAATGTCTTCTTCTCTTACCATCAACCTCTAAGTAGACATGAGCCACAGGAAACCCAGCCCGGTCTGTCACAATGAAGACGCCCATGTCGGACAGGTGGACCTTTTTCATGATGAGCTCTGATCCCTCCACACTCAACCTGCCCTCCAGCTGAGGGTCCAGCGGTGTCACCAGGACCCCCTGGTTCAGGATGACCCGGTCCTGATTATCTGATTTGGGCCTGTAGACGATGTTAAGATTGGAATGGTCCACATAGAGTTTCATCTTCAGATTTTCTCTGTTGGAGAGGTGGATGAAGTTCTGGTGCTCTGTGGAGAACCAAAGAGAGAAATATAAAAAGATGCGCAGCATATAGCTAGCCTAGCAATGTGCATATGTTACCATGTCTTGGGTTTCCTTTCATTGAAGCCGTCCCCACCCTCCTTACATATATGACACCACAATGGGGTCTAATTGCCAAAAGACTATTTGCATTTGTCATACTTATGCGCACATGTTGGTTGTACTGAACCTTGCATTTAGCTTAAACCACCACTGTGTCAAAGGACAGCTTCAAAGAGCCACTAGCATAGCTGTAGACTGTCTCATTTAAAGCCAACTTCTGTTTTAGCACACAGAAGCCACTGTATCTCATTCATCAGTTGTAATATTGTGTTCCCTAACCTTAATTAAAGTAAATGTGTTCTTGATATATTTTTATCTATATCCTATTCTTTACTGGTGCAGCAAGACAGCATCCCTGCAGGCAGGTTAACCTCATTTTAAATACATTAAATAAAGGCTTACGACCTTTTCTGAGATTAAGGCATTAGGATTTTTTTTTTTTAAAGGTAATACACTCTAGAATTAGATAATGCATACAGTGACTCTAGGCCAAGATGAAAATTTGCAATGTGAGAAAGACAAAAGGCAAAACGCTGGTGGCATTTTGATGACAAAGCTATACAGTACTAACACTTAGTGGTATCTGTGCAGGCTAATATCAAAGACTGCAGCACTTCATTTTGGCGTCATTGGATAAAGTCTCATAATAAACTTTAAACATAATGTAATTCAAGTGGACTGTGAGAACACTAGACTTCTGCACCTCCTCTTTGCTTAAAAAATCCAACCAGTGACGGGAGACTTTGGCCACTCACAGGTCATTTCAGAGAGAGGGCATTCCTTTTGGCTGTTCTACAAATGCACATCGCTTTGGTGAAAGCCTAATTTTGATTTTAATGACGGAGAGTCCTGCAGGAGAAAGTTGCTATTCTAACAACAACTGCAAAGCAACCCAAAAAAAGGAAAATGGACTTATCAAAAAGATAAGAAGAGAGTCTAAGAAAAAACAAAAAACACCTTTCAAAATCACCGAAACGTTTCAGAGACAGGGAGAGAACGTTGCTGATAGTTAAGCCTTTCGCTAACCGAAGCTAAAGGCTCACGGCTGTGACTTTAAGTTCACATTTATGTTGCTGGCGTTAACTAGAACTTCACGGTGTGTCCTCCACCTCACTCCCCACTGCTACTCTCTGGGAGGAGAGCAGGCGGCAGCTATGGAGACAGACCCCCAGTCAGTGGTCGCAGCACCACGAATCCAGCCAGTGCAAACCCCAGCCCCCAGGTACTAGACAAACCCAGCTCCCTGCTGGATCAGCAAACTCTCTGTTGTTGCCGTTACACAGGTTGGACCCTGTGCTGCTGCTGGCTACCACTCAGTGCTAGGGGGCAAAAGGGCTGGGTGAATGTACCGTGTGCAACTCTACAATGAATAAAATCAAATAAAGCAATGTATGGGACACAATGAGTTATGGTATGAAGCATGTGCATATGCCCGTGGCCGTCTGTTGGGAGGTGCTTAGGACAGAGAGGGGAGGGCTGTATTTTTCAGATTCTCCTGTTTTTTGATAATTTTTTTTGCCTTTTCCAGATTTCTGCCTACCCCACCTTTAACATCAGAATATCGACAAATGCACATGAGATTGATAAATGAATCAATTAAAGCTAAGAGGATGCAGTGAAGCACAAATCTCTCCTCACCTCTGACATTCAGACAGTTCCTCCTCCTGATTTTGCCCTCAAGGTCCAGCACTGTAAAGCTCCCCTCGTCCGTCATCCTGACCGAGTGCAGTGTCACCCGTTTTTCTGACACGCTGAGACGTCCCACATATTCTTCTGCCAGAACTTCTGTCTTGTTATACAGCATCACAGGTGGAGGCTCTGTTGCATGATGTATCTCAGTCTGATTGGGCTGAACCAGACTAGGCCTTAGAATAGAACATGAGAGAATAAATGTTACCTAAAGTAACACATGAGCAATTAGGGTGGCCCAATCCCAATCTCCACCCTGAGGCCTATGCCTTGAACCCTCATGGACTTAATTGTTTGAATCTGGTCACTTCTGGCTCCAAAAGCTAAGATGGCAACAGCCAAAATGCCAAACATGAAGCCTCAAAACGGCAGTCCGCAAACCAATGAGGGACGTCACATTGGCTATGTCCCCTTCACTTACGCTATAAACAGATACACATAAACGAATGCAGAAACTCAATCCAAGATTACTGAATTAGACGTGATCTGGTTTCTGTTTGTAGTCCATTTGTAGTCTGAATAGTATTGACCAAACCCATTTGAGCAGCAGGTAAACAGTCCATGTGGAGAGAAGAAGAGGCGGAATGCACTGGCCGAAATGCGGTTTCAGAACCTACTGGCTATCATCTCATGGCAATTTAGCTTTCCATTTGCTTTATTTTTTTAATCATATGCAGATATCTGTTTATAGAGATAAGCTGAAATGACGCAGTTGCCCCAAGAGGCTTATCATCGTCAGACTGATAGCTGATGGGTTCTGAGATTGGGCAAAGTCTGCAGAAATACTAATTTATGGGAAGAGTGGCTTATTTGCCTGCAAAGAACCCTTATGCACTTGATGATTTGACAGTGGGACAGTCCTAAACCCTTGCAGATTTACCAGGAACGCACCTCAAACTCCAGTTTATTTAACAGGTTACACACAGACAAACACAGTTACATTACAATGCTACACATGACATGATGTATATAGGATGACTTGGCTGTTAAATTTAGATCAAAACAACTACAAAATCTGTAATAACCATGCCTCCATGTTGAATATGAGTACTTTTTCTGTTGTGCTTCACTGACCGTCCTTACCTGAACTCCAGTGTGATGGGGCATTCCACATGGTTGAGATGGATGTAGTAAGTTTCTCCGTATTTCACCACTTGCTCCAAAGCGCAGTCTGATTGACAAGACCAGAGAAAATAAAGGTCAAAGCAAGATCTTTGTGACATACGTAATGAAAGTCAGTGAATACAAATCATCTCTGTGACTGACCAGAACATTAATTGTGGAATTAGTTTTATGGTTGTATGTATGATTCCTAAACTTAATCTACTTCAGACCTTAAAGGAATTTTATCTATCCTGAAGTTTTTGTGTTATAGGCCTACAAATAAGGCTCTGTGATTTAAAACAAAACAGGATTTGTTCAGTTTCCAGTGGCTGATATTCTTGTAGGCTACCACCTATGTCTTCTATATATATATTTTTTATTTCAAAAAATCAAACACAGGGTAAAAATGATCCAAAGATCCAATTCTAATAGTCAGTCGGTAGTAGAGGTACCACTTCTAGTCCTGGCAATGCACTTCACCTTAATGTCTTCAACAGTGAGTGATCATCCAAGTCAGAACAGGCTAGAGCATTGATGGGTATGGTTGAGTGGAGTGTATGTGAAGAACATTAGAGTAAGAGACAATGAAAAGGCAAAAGCCATCCAGGGCGCAGTACAAAAAAAAAAAGAAGTGGAGGAAATTTGCACGTGCAGGACTCAGATGCCAAATGTGTTAGGTGTGGCACTGCCAATTTTACATGGTCTTTTGTGATACAGCAAATAGTTACATCTTTTTCTGATTGTATGACACTATATTTAGCATTCTTGTAATCCTACGTGTGTCCTAAATATTACATAAGCTACACTGATACAGCATGTTTAAAGCTGTTAGTTTAGGTAAGTAGCTTACCAACTAGCATGCTGTATTTTCCACAGCAGAGATTAGGACCAATGTTCCAGATTGTATATATTTAGTTTCTGTTGTTCTCAAAAAATCTTACTATCCACTGCCAAAACTGTGACTTAAGGTAGACAATCTCAAGTTGGCAAACACTTTCTGACACTGAACAATCTTTGTGCAGCTAGCAGCTTACCCCTGACAATGAGGCTGAGGTGCTTGACTGTGTTGGGATGGTTGATGTTCCTGGTGATATACACCCCCTCGTCCTCCTCCTGCACGTCCTCCACCACCAGGTGGCCTAGAGTGGTAAGACGGCCCCGTGGACTCACCACCTGGCCTGCTCGCAGCAGAACCACCTCAGCAGAGTGATTGGTTCTGGGTTTGAACACAACCTCACTAACGTTCCCAGGCAGGATGTCGATGTGAATGTCCTCCCCAAAGAAGGCTGTCCTGTGTTCCTCTTTGACTGGTTGAAACAAGATGTTTTATTAGATAGGACAGGCAACCTGCTATTTATTATATACTTTCTCTGTATCTTTCCTCATCTGTTTATTACAGTGGCCCTGAGGGTCAAAACACAACAACATTTCAGATACACAACAAAATATTTCCCAAAAAATATCATTTCAAAAAATAAAATTAGCCAAAACAAAATAATTACAACTCCACAACATGAAATGTTTAGTGATTTGTGAAATGTTGTTTTGTTTTCTGAAATGTTGTAATGTTGTGTTTTGATGCTCAGGGCTACCGTAGTTAGTTCTTTTAAAGCACTACTAGACATGCAATGAAAACCAAACAAGCGTGCAATTTTACCTTTCAAAGATGCTGACACAACTGAAAAAGAAAAGAAAGGAGTTAATTTTAAAATGTATCTTTTTTTTAGTTGTCTGCTGTTTTGTACAAAGATCTTTAAATAGGTCCTTTGTTCTTAATTGAAAAACCACTTCCCAAAAAAGTATTAAGTCTTTGAAATGTAAATGCCTCACTTAATGACAGCTAAAAAAAGACTGGATGTAAATACAATCTGACTTTCTCATAAGGAACAAAAGGCAAGTAAATTAGTGGAAATTAAACATATCACAAAATAACTCTAACAGCTTCCTTTGGTGTGGTTCTCATAAAAATCTACGCAAATCATTCGCTTAAAACAAATTCAGCTTTGCAGGAAGTGTGTTTCAGTCATTCATTTATCCAAACCCACTCCCAAGTGACTGATTATATTTGTGCTTACTGGTGCAGAACAGGGCGCCAAGAGCTGCAGCGCTGATTACTTTCATCCTGAATGGTCGGTCTCTGGGAAAAAAACAGAAACACAACAAATTAAAAAAGAGCTTTTTATAGCATGTTTATGGCTCCAAAGGATCAAATCACAACATTCTGCAAAGAGATGTCTGCCATAATCATATCAAGACGGAATTTTATTTGACATGAAAATATGTTAACTTACTTAAGGTAAAGATGTGTGGCTAATGTGGTTCAGCATTTAATTGAAAAACACCTCTGCAAAGCAGAAGCATGCCAACATCAATCTGTGTCCTCAAGCTGAAGAGAGATTCCCTCCCCCTCCTGCTCTGCACCACCCTGCTACACTAAACGGCATTTCGCAAATTAGGTCTTCAAATACCTAAGGGAGAGCACTGCCAAAATTGCTTGACATGAAAATCTATAGTGCTGCTGTAAAGTAAGATATACTATTAAGCCAGGTCTTATAGATAAAGCGTCTTCAAATCAGAGAGCAATAGAGAGAGAGACAGTGTGTGAGTCAAAGACATGGCGCTGTTTTGTGAACTGTGTGTCTCCTGCGGTGTGGCAAGTCAATCAGCTCTCCACTCACGACACATAACCACAAACCAGAGAAAGACATGAAGACGGAAGAAAAGCGATAAAGAGAGAAAGGAAGAAAAGAGAAACAGTGAAGGAAGAGAGGGTATGCTAGAGAGGACAGGAGAGAGTGGGAGTGATATTACGCATTCAAGAGTACATGGTCATCCCATTGGGATGATGTGATGGACAGCAGCCATCTGGCATGAGGTGATTCTGACCTTTCACGACTACTTCACTGGATTAGACTAAGCAGCAGTAGCACAGAGTTATTAAGGTGGGATAATTAGCTGGATATATATAGTGGGAGAGACATAAGAAAACAGCTGGGAAGCGGAGGTTTGAATGGAAAACAGCACTACTAACAACTCTTCTTTCAGCACTTTCTCTTTCACAAGAGAACAGAAACTATGGAATATCATGGAAAACAACAACAAGACGCAAACACAATGACTATTTGCCATAGGCGACATTCAAAGCACGCAAGAACACCTTACAAGAGAGTTAAAACCAAGCAGCATTGTATCAATAGATGGCAAAGTCAAAGAAATCAGCAATATACAGTAATAAGTTAATAAAATAACTTGACAAAAATCATAATAAAACTAGGTATAAAAGAGTCATTATGAAGTCTTTAGTGCAAATCTCAATGTGTGTGTGTCACCATTAAATCAGACCGAATGTTGGCCGTAGCAGAAGTTACTATTGCCCTTGTTTCCTCGTCAAAAAGCCTATGGAATTGTTGCACTGGATTTTGGATTATAGCAGAAAACAATCTTTGTGGCAAACAAATGCTTATGATACTTAGACGTTTTGTCCAGCAAGATAATCTTCACAACAGACCACCACTTCTATGATAAGTAGTAAAGCATAAATGCAATTGCCAGATGTAAAAAACTAACAATAGGCTATAAACGAGCAACACTAAAGTAGCAGGTCGTGTGTCTCAACATCAGCACCACAATGAGGCTGTAAAGCCGTGTTCAGCGTGATGATTTTTTGTAGTCTCATTTAGCAACTTGTTAGCAACTGCCATTTTAAGACACATAAAAGCTTCAAAATTTGCGAGTGGGGCATCTATTTACGTATTTTATGTTGTAGAACAAATTGTGAAATTCTCTTAAGCTTGCGTTAACCACAGACCTTATTTCAGGTACAAAGATACAAACAGGCTTGGTTATGAAGGGCCCTGAAGGTGAGAAGGAGAATAAATCAAAATTATATTTAATAGGAAGCCACTGAAGTTGCTGAAGGACAGGAGTGACAGGATCTATGGAGCAGGTTCTACTCATAGTAGTAGTTTCCTCTATTTCGTATTTTCCAAATAGTATTTGCTTATCTCTGCCAAAAAAAACAACTTGTTTTCATGTACACCTAAATACTCACATGCACTATATCTTTTATTGCTGGAATTTCACTTAATGTGCTTCCACTGATGCATTTTCCTTACTAAACCACAACAAGAAATAGAAAGAGAGAGAGAAAGATACCTACTTGATCTGGCTTACGCAAGACCGTGAGACATGGGCACCGCGTTCATGTGTGTTCACGTGCTTTCGCTGCCTCTCTGTGCACCGCGTACATGTGAGCGCAGTGCACAGAGAGGCAGTTAGAGCTGCAGGCTACAATGAGGCTGAAAACAGAGTTCAAATGACGTTTTTCCGAACAACTTTTTATGTCGGGGCTTCAGGACACTTGGATCACTACGGACGAGCAGTATGGAGATATTTTGTGGTTTCAATTATGTGTTTTTGTGGGTCGCCAAAAACAAAAAAAGGTGGAGTTGTGTTGCTACCCACTCTCCCCTGGGATCTCCGCAAGTGTTGTGAGGACTCTAAAACTTCACCTGAGCCTCCATCAGCATGAGGGTGAGTAGATAATGGGTGAATTTTCATTTTTGGATGCACTATCCCTTTAAGGCCCCAAATGTAGCTGCAGAGTGAGTCTGAGTGAGACAGAGGCAGCTGTCCAGAGGAGGAGAGGCTTTGCGGACTATGCTCAAACCTACAAGGTGGCTATGGCTCAAATGCTCAAACTCTGTTCGCAACAAATAGTCAAATAATCATATTGCACGGCCCAAGTTGATTTGACTGACATAATTCTGAGTTGGAAACAGCCCTAATGTAGATTTTGACCAGTATCCTTGGCCTGTCATGATACCTGCTTTTGTTGGATGATTTATGCCCCAGAAATAATTGCAATAAACAATATTATTGTCATTTTAAGACATTTTTGCCACTAACATAATGATGATACAATGGCATAATAATGTAAGTACAATGAGCATTGAACTTTTAATTTAACCAGAAATGACAGAAAAATGTGTCTCAGCATTGTTATTTCCTGTTCATTAGTCTTAGGCGCTGTTTACCCTGCTAAACCCTGCTGTTTATTCTGGCGTCATGTTGGCTAAAATTTTGGTGACATTCTTATATAAACACAACAGGCTATATTGCACAATGGCCAGACATAACTTTGATCATTTTTGCTGACCTTGATCAGTTAATAACATATGTTTCATCACAGGCCTGTTGCCCTTACAATGGAAGTTAGAGAGGAGCCATTTCAAGGCCGGTATGTGGAGGAGGAAGGATTGCAACAACCAGTAAATCTTTCAATGTGCATGAGGGCATGTGAGTTTAATATTAGACTGAATGAGAAAATCTTACTGTGTGAGATTGTTAATCACAGATGCTGCATTCATATCAAATCTATGGTTTCTTTCAAAATTTAAGAGACTTGCATTCATTTGCAATATAGCTACACTGTCTCAACACTACACCTATAGTTAGGCTGACACTTGGACGATAACTGGCAAACAGGGGAATGACTGAGCGATATACCCTCTTCATGTGCAGACTCTCTGAAGCATCCATATGTACACCAAAGGCTTGTTGATTACACGTTTTCACAAAAATTAGATTACCTCCATCATAACATGTGCTATATTACAGATTTTATCCTGCAAACAGTAATCAAATGTAAAGCAGGTTTCAGAATTCTGCAGCAAATTGGAAGTATGACTTATTTTCCTGTTTGTATCCTGTGCAGCATTATGAAATAGAGTGAATCACTGCATCTTTAGACTCTGAAAGAGGGAACAATAAAACGCCATTGAATTTCTGCCAGCTTCTTCAGATGAGGGATTAGAGTGCTATTTAAAGGGGAAAAGAAGAAGAAAGCCCATCGACTCTCACTGCGCACATCAACAAACGCAAAGTCACTTCCAAATGACGGCCTAGCTTTAAAGTGGGCCGAAAAACTGCTCAAGAGGCTTTCAGTCCCTCAGCAGAACACAGTAATCATAGCATATTTTCCAATCTGAGCCCTGTGAAGCAGGTTTGAATCATCTTCTACAGAGCCATTAGCTTATTGCAGAGCTCATGGAAGGATGCTATACAGAGACATAAATCACAGGTTTGATTCATTCATGGAGAGAGAACATTACATCTGACAAGAAAATTAGAGGTTGCTGCTGGCTGTATAAAGGTAATACGGAATGCCACTGACAAGACACACACGAACATACATTTAAAAACTGACATATTAACAATGTATTGATTGAAGTGCAGTCAGAGTGGTGGTTATAAATTTAAAAAAGAAGCTTTAGTGGCATCTAGTGGTGAGGATCACAGATTGCAACAAGCTGAAACCTCTCCTGAGTGCCAAGCTTTGAACTCTAGCTTAGGATTCCTTCAAAATTCATGTTCAGGAGGTTCTACCAGGATACAAATTATCCACAGAGGTCTCCTCCTCTGCAAAATAAATGGCCCTGGTGATTTAAACTGGAACAAAAACACTGAATAACCAATTTCATGTTAAAAAAGCAGTGTTTTTCCAATGCTGGCTGCTTGTTGCGGAGGGGCTACTTACTACAGTGGCTGACGTGAAAATGAAAGTAGCCCTATCTACAGTCATGGTTTGTCTGTTCTGGGCTACTGTAGAAATATGGCAGTGCAACATGACAGACTCCTTGGAAGAAGGCCCGCTCCCTATTTAGATATAAATAGCTCAGGGTAAGGTAAAGAAAACACAAATATTCTTATTTTAGGATGATTATACATAAAAGAAAACACACCACACACTCGATCTTTAAACCATGGCTCCACAGGTTTGAATTTGATCAAAACTGGATGGATGGTGATGCATTTGCCAGTGTTTTTGCATGTTTTAACATGACACAGACTGCCTCAGAGGGGGGTGCTGTAATTAAAGGTGAACATTGTGATACCCCACTGTTTCGCCACTGGGTGTCCTGGATAAAAGCATCAGCCGAGAAGCCCGAGATAAGGATGTAACCACTGTCCTTTGGCTGAGGGCATGATGTCCATTTGAAAAGTCTGTCTCTAAATAGGGTCACTGCTCTCCTGTCTCCTGTTATGACCAGTTAGATCAATCCAAACCGAACTGCGTGTGACACATCCAGCAGCCTCCCCGTGGTGAGAGGCGTGGAGGTTACATCTTTCAGGCTTATCTCATCAATCTGACATCCATCCTGACTGACAAATTTAAGAGCCTTTCCCCCCCAATCATCTCTGCTCTCCCACACAAGCCAGGAGGGCGGTAGAATTATACCTCCATCCTGCTTGTGTTACAGTGTTGTCTTTATCATCTTTCTGCTTGTCTCTGTCTATCGACTTTTATGTTCCTCTGAAACATGTCCGTGTTGTGCTGCCTTGTCTTTCCTTTGTTACTCTCCTTAATTATCCCTCAAGCTAATTCCTATTGGGGTCAGTCAGAGTACTGGTTTGTGATATACTGGGCTGATATTGCCCTTATATTAGAAATGTCACCCACACATCATGTTGGTTTTGAGTGACATTTTGCAAGTGAATGCCAGGAGGGGCCCCCAACACTTTGGGCTCTGATAGACCCTTATAATCCACCATGACTGCAGAGGATCTAAAGTGTGTCTACCTATACATTTTAACATGAAAATAGCCAGATTAAGTTATTCTAATACTAGAACCTTCAATCTAAATACACTGAGATCAATGCCACCTCAAAAGTCCCCTCTCAAGACCTGCTTGTCCCCTGCACTTTCCTCCTCTGCACATCCACCTCCACCCCCATTCCCCCTCCTCATCCTTTACGCAGCCAATAAAGCCAGGAGCAGCTGCTGGTGCAGCCAAGGGTGTGTCAGGAGTGGTATGAACGGGGGCTGTCCCGTTGTCGGGATGTCCGAATGGAAGATGGAAGAAATAAGAGGGAAGGGATGAAGAATGAAAGAGGAGTTGTGGTTCAGTTAGTCACCACAGTCAAAGACTAATGCCACAGTCTCATTAAGTATTTCAGGAATAAAGCATCCTCTCTCTTTGTCTCTGTTGTTTCATTCCTTCACATCTGGGTGATGGTTTGGACATTTTGCCATACCATCTGTGAGCCTACAATACGCAGTTTTAGATAGATGGACCACATTTGTTGCAAAACATCTTCCCTTCTCTATCCTTCCCTCTAAGATGGCCTGGCTGAGAAATTGATCTTAACATATTAGTAGCCTAACTGTCCTCATTGCACACTGCACTCATTCAACACTCTCTAATGATTCATCTATGTGACAAATACTTAGTCAGCGGCTCTAATGTGTGCCATAGCGCCAAGGAACATTGCGTAACCATTTCCACCGGGATGGACCAGAAAATACCCCTCAATTCAGACGGGTATACCCCGCACACAGGACAAGATTATGCGACACAGCCTCAATTTATTGATGAAATGATTTCTATGTGGTGTGTTAAAACCACTTGGTGATACAATCATCAGAGTATCGGTAATATAGTTTGAATATATCTAGTCTCCTAGATAGCAGCAGATAGATTGGTGGATTTATAGAATTGACACATCAGGAGGAGGAAGGAGAGCACCCAGTGCACAAATACCTTATGAAATAATGTCTTCTCTGAGCAATGCTTTGATACTTATCTGAATACTGTGAATTGTATCACATTTGCCGGGCATTAAAGAAAAGTTAAGCCTTCTGTTATACATCTGGAAGCCGTTAATTGTTCTGTTCTTGTGTGAAGATCGCCGTAATTACAGCCACCCTGCACGCCTTCGCTGCGTATCTGTTGGTCACACGCCCTAAATCAACCGTATGGGACCGCTCAACACAAGCAAACAGTCAAAACAGCAAATCTGCAGAATTTAACCCACTACCTCCCTGTCTGAACGAAATATTGTGGGTTAACAAAAAAGATCAAGTGCTGTAACATACAATTATAATTGGATGATGTAATTACCTTTGTCAAGCCTTGAATCCGCAAATCATGGACTGGGAGGGGCTCAAGAGTGATGGTTTCTGGATGTCGCCTTTTTTCTTTATTTCATTAATCTCGTCCACCCCATCGCCCCCAACCCGACGACAACAGACTTCAATGGGGGCGGTTCGGGAGTAGCTGAGGAGTTTCGGTTAATGTCGGGTATGTGGACGATCTGAGATCGGCGGTGCTCGGGAAAGTCCGGGAAGAATCGACGCGTCCTGGCTCGGAGCCACGAGCAGCCGCTCTGCAGTGTGAAGTCAGGCGAGAGTTACACATGCAGGGATTCTCCAATGTGATGTTCATTCATCTGGTCAAGCAGACCGTAGTGTGAAGGGGGAATCCTTCCTCTTGACTACAGACATTATCAGTTTGTGCTGTACAGTCAGTAATCCCGTTATTTCATATTGTTTAAGTTATTTCATGAGTTATCTACCTTTTTGTTCAGGTGGATAAGGGGCAGAGATGGACACACCTACATCAAAAAGTATCTTGTTACAAATAACAAATACTTGCTCATCAAATGCTCAACAAAATAAATCAGACTCATGGTCATCAACATGAGGCTGACTCTGACTCTGACCTTGATTTCCCACATCACAGATAAGAAGTGGCCAATCAGTATAGAGCTGGAAGGCTGTGATTTCAGGGGTGCATGGTTTCTGTCAGTCAAAGCGACCACTGACTGATTGAAAGGCCAGTTAACATGCACCTTGTGGAACTGAATACTGAATTGAACTGAAACTGAATACCAACGAAGTGCAAAAGAAACAAAACAGTGCCATCAGTATGATACACTACAAAATAGTAGAAGTTTAAGAGATCTAACAAATCTATGCCTAGAGGATGAAGGCAGGAGTGTGTTGGCAATGTCAGCAGCAGTAAACTAATAGTGTTACTTACCTCTGTCTGAGTCCTTATCTTTGCTCTTTAGATGCCATCAAACGTCTGTGCCTTCCTGAAAAGTTCCACATTATTAAGCCAAGAATGGGTTGCTACCTTAGAGTAAGCTGTTTATATCTACATATAGAGTGAGTCCTCTTTCACAGAGTACGCTATGTTGTTCCTGTAGGCTACTGTAGCCCAGAACAGACAAATCAAACACTGGCTCTAGATAAGGCCATTTACTTTTGTGTGTTTTTACATCAGTCACTGTAGTTCTTCTGCACACTGGGCATATGGGAGAGGTTTCAGTTGGTTGATATCTGCAACCTCGCAGCTAGGTGCCACCAAATTCTACACCAACTCTACCACCTCTAGTCTGTTTTTGATCGACCTTTAAAGGTTCAGATTTAGGGGGATTTAGTGGCATCTAGTGGTGAGGACTGCATATTGCAACCAGGTGAAACTTCTCCCGGTTAGAATACCTTCAGTGTTCGTTGTTCAGGAGATTTTTACCGGAAGCTGAATTATCCACAGAGTTCTCTTCCTCATAACAAACAGACCAGATGGTTAACACCATTAAAAACACTGAATAAAACAGTTTCAAGTTTAAAAAATCTGTTTTTGCTGATGTGAAAACCAGATTGAACCATATAGAGTCAGTGTTTGGTTTGTCCTTTCTGGGCTACTGTAGAAACATGGCAGTGCAACATGGTAATTTCTGTGAATGAGGATCTGCTTCCTATGTAGATAAGCAGCTCATTCCAGGGTAACAAAAACACAGTTCTTATTTTCAGATGATCATACACTATATTCCATTTCTGTCAATATATCCTTCTAAATCCTACACACTGGACCTTTAATTTTTTTGTTCGTGGAGCCTAGGAGACATTCAGCTAGTAGCACAGAGAGTTCAACCCAGACATAATGCAGGACATCAGGTTTCCCATGGCCACACAGGTGCCTCAGTTTTCAGCACTGTAGCATTGCAGCAAGAAAGTGAAGCTTCACCTCTGGGCCTTGATCCCCTTGCTGTGAGGAGCGCACACACTGTGTTGGGTTTACTTCGAGGGCTTCTGTTTCCCCCCATATTTTATGTCATCATAATGATTATAAGTAATAAATAAATAATGATAAATAAAATTAAATGTTATCTGTTTAAAATTCTTTATTTTCTTATAATTTGCTGTGTAGGTGCATAGCTGTAGACTCAGACTGATGTCCTGCTGGTTAAAGCATAACTCCAGTATGTTATAACTATGGTAATGATGTTGGCTTTCTATAAATAAACAAAATACAAAGATCCCTCTCTGGCCTTTTTCAGTTTTAGGTCCATTTAAGGAGTCTTATAGAATCTCTGTCATTTTACATTTAAGTGTATGTAATGAATGACTAATGATGTCTCCTTGAATAGAATTAAAACTGAAAAAAGGAGAATGCTGGTGTTAAACATAATAAGCAAATGAAATAATCATGAAAATAATCATTTTACAACCCAGTGAACTGATAAGTCATCACTAGAACATAACCATGACTTTGATATGAGAAAGATGTCCGATATTTGTTGGATGCTTGCCTTGTCACAGCCGCTCTCATTACATTTGATCTCATCATAAGTGGCATAATGACTTCCTGGAAGCTCAGACTGAAAAATTATTACAAACATTCTAAAAGCTGTTTGTCAATAACGACAGTACAAGTGTTTTTTTCTCCTACAAATGCCTTTTTATTTCTCGCAAACATTTCACAGTCACAGGGACCCCGAGTCAAACTTCGCCACAGGGATTAGTAAAGGTACTAACAGACAATGACGCACACACAGACATAGAGACAGCATGGCTGAGGATCACATACTGAACACAAATGACTTCTGATTGATTTGAGTGAATACTGTGGTGACTCAGAGTGTAAACATTTATCAGAATGTTAAATTGTGCACTTCTTCACAGGACGTTACAGGATGAAATACAAAACTACAATTTGATCTTTTTCCCTTTAAAAAAGGGCCTTTTTATTTTTCAAATGTGTTTCAAGAAGCCTTAAAAATAACATGTTAAAATGACTTTGTGATGATTAAATGGAACATATTCTTCAGCCTCTCGACATTTTAACTTAACAAAATACTGGAAAATCCATGTCACTGCATAGTCATTGCAGTCCATTTAACCTGTCAAAGCTGGGGTTTCATACTCTAATTAATTGTTGTTGTTTTTTTACTTAGAATGGTGATATAGCTGCTTAACAGTTAAAACTACTGATATTTTTCTTTTCAGTCCTTCTCATCTAAGTCCACTGACCACTGGGCCCCTAAAGTCTATAAAATGTGCATTAAAAAACACATGAAGGTCACAGACAAAATATTTTTTATTACTGTCTTTGAATATAATACTTAACTGATACATGGTTCTAATCCAACAACAGCAAAGATGCTTCAACCAAGGTTAGCTCAGGCCCTTTTGAGTCTAACATATCAGGGAATAAAGGGAATGGAAAACAGATCAGGTAAAGTCTAATATGCTTTTCACAACCTGATATGGGTTAAGGACATCCACAGTGTGTGATTCTCCTCATGACGTTGGCTGGCGTCTGAGAGTAATCCTGCAGCCGCTGCTGTTATTGCATTAAAACTGTGAAAATGTATCTTAGTGCAGTCAATTTGTTTAGTAAAGTCATCTTTGTTCTGACTGACAACATTGCAGAATTTTAAATTATTGTTATGTAATATGTTGAAATTGCTGCAAGTTCTGCTCCAACAAACCTTGTTAAACATGTCTAACTTTATTACAGCTATGACACCTATTTCTGTGCTTTCTTAATTAAATAAAAGTTCCAATTCAGATGAGAAAAAGACAACCTAATTATGTGAATTTGCTACTTGAAGTTGTAATTGACGGGTGCCTTCTGCTGAGACTTTTCCATAAAAGTTAATCTCACCTACTGTGAGAAACAAAGAATTCTCTTTGCTTGTGTCTAACAGGAATGGAGAGGTCTTCCCATAGATATTGACCTGAAATCCTGATCTCTCTCTGACTTAAATTACTGGGCCAGCAAAAATCCCACCCGAATGTCTTTTTCTACCCACAGTCTTAAGAGGGATGCGACAACAACAGTCAAAATGTTAATATTTCCAATCAATTTACTCAGAGTACAGGCCCCAGTAAGGAACAAATACTGACAGTCCCACCTACTCCTCAAATTCACATTTATCTCTGAGAGTGGATCTTCAAAGCTGATAAATAATGGCAGTAATGAACACTTATAAAAGCGATAAACACTGATAATGGCATGATTTCACATTTGTGGAGCTCAATTTCAAGGTCACAGGTCTGGTTTTACCAAAATAACCTAAGCTATAAGATTTTTAACACTTGACATTCTTTGACTTCACCTCTTTTAAATGCTTAAGCACTGAAATAAAAAACTGATCGAACTGCTAACCCTGTGCTTCAAATCAGTGAACAAGCACATTGATTTGATTGTTCCAATGGCTGCAAAATACGGTTTCTCGTGCAAGAGGTAATGTCATGTCAGTAATATTTGGCAAACGTTCACAGCTTGTTTGCATTGAGTGTGAATGTGTGTAGTGTCATATTGCATTTTAAATCAGTGATTTAACCACATTCGTTCAAGGTGGAATTAACTTTACTATGTAGAGTCGCCACGATTACTTTGTTTTAATTTTTGTTTTCCAGAAAACAGTCAAATATGATCCTATGCAATTAAAGTGAAGTGTAAGAAGCGCTTCGTTTGCTGCAAGATAAGATCACAGTGTTAAAAAAGAGGTTGGAAAGCTAGTCTTGGTAAAACTGAACAAAGAACATGGCGTCACAATAAACTGTAAACCATGGCACATTAATTTGGTCACGTGATTTTCACCCTATTTCTCATCCTGCTTCTCTTTTACTTTCCTTCCAACATTTATCTTTCATTCTTATTCCTTCACATAGTTTCCTTTCCTCCATTAACCAATTGAGACTCCCATACTTCTCTAACCAGCCTTCCTTATCCGTTCTGCTACATTCCTTCATTTCATCTCACAATATTTTTCTTTTCTCTTTTCTTCTGGATGTTTTTATTTATCTATTTATTTTGGTTATTAAAGGGATAGTTCGGATCTTTAGAAGTGGTTCTGAACGAGGTACTTATGTACAGTCAGTGTATTACGAACAGTAGACGTATGCCTGAGGACAGAGGAAGCATCAATATTTTAGCCACTAAAGAAAAATCAATAACAGTTTCA